CACACACACACACACACACACACACACACACACACACACACACACACACACACACACACACACTTCTGAAGACACCTTGGGGAAGCTATAATTCAGGCAGTGACAGCCTGAATGAAACAGGACAGATTAGCAGGAGACGATGAAATCCATCAGCACATTTCCTCTTGCTCATAGGATACAAAGGCTTAGACACACACCTGTCCAAGAGACCTGTAATGACGCAGCGTCCACACGGCGCCGTGCGTTGAAGCTAGCTGGTGAGCTTGTCTGAAACTCGACCAACAACCAATCACGTGAGTCTCCCGGCCCGGACACACAAGCACGCAGTTTGATTGGCTAGAGCTTGTACTGGCATATGATTCGATTGGCTGACGCTTTCGCCGAAGCTTCAAAAGTTGAACATTGCTCAACTTTTGAAGCGAGCAAAGCGTGACGTCACCCCATTCAAGCTTCAACGCACGCCGCCGTGTGGACGGGCCGTTACAGTACACATTATAGACTCGCGATGGCAACCAGAAATAAAAGGCTCTATTATGGGGTTTTCCCTTTCGTGTAGTATGTTATATAGGTTTGTGTGCCTCCATTGGACTCCTTAGTTTACTTCAATAACATAGTGACATCACTATGTAACACTTGCACTTCTATTGGCTAGCGCTCCAACACATTGTAGGCTAAGGGGTAGTACAGAGGAGCTTTTTGAACAGCATGTACACAGGTCACAGGAGTAGAGACTCTAAATACTAATATGAACCTGAAAATGAGCATTATACTATATCTTCTCTTAAGAGATATTTTGCCTTGTTGGTAGGCAGCTCTTATATTTGGTGCTGTCCATGCACCTCAGCATCATTTGTATATTGTTATTTAACAGAGCAGCTACATGTTTCATAACTGTGAAGGATCCCCTTGGCAGACATGTTTAAACTCCCACATTAAAGCATTCCCGCTTCACTGCAGCACCTGGAACCTTATCTAGTGGTGTGTGTGTGTGTGTGTGTGTGTGTGTGTGTTGGTGTGTGTGTGTGTGTGTGTGTGTGTGTGTGTGTGTGTGTGTGTGTGTGTGTGTGTGTGTGTGTGTGTGTGTGTGTGTGTGTGTGTGTGTGTGTGTGTGTGTGTGTGTGTGTGTGTGTGTGTGTGTGTGTGTGTGTGTGTGTGTGTGTGTGTGTGTGTGTGTGTGTGTGTGTGTGTGTGTGTGTGTGTGTGTGTGTGTGTGTGTGTGTGTGTGTGTGTGTGTGTGTGTGTGTGTGTGTGTGTGTCCCTGCTTCTGGTAATTGGATGTGACCCCCAACTTCACCAGCAACAATAATTGTGTGTGTGTGTGTAGTCAGTCCCTCAGTGGCCATCAGTAACATGTATTGGGTTAATGTGTGTGTCAACCACTGAAACTGCCCACTGAGCCAGGGTTGCGGTTGCCAGACACACACACACACACACACACACACACACACACACACACACACACACAGAGAAATAGCTTGTGTGCACCTGCCTTTGTTACGCCTTGGTTACAACCAAATGTTTGAAAAGAGGAATTAGTAGTTTTTTCCTCTGTGTAGTTTCAAGTTTGTATTAATCCAAAGTGCAAAATTAGCATTGAAATAAAGAAAAATATATTCACTAAATTGAAAAAGAGGCCTGAACTGATGACCTTGAGTGTGAGTATGCGCTAAATTGATGTGAACTCTTGTCTACCTACTCTATTTATGATCTGGATTCAATTACATTGGGCTTAGTAATCTTAAGGCTGAATCCTTACAAAGCTCTATTGTGCACACACACACACACACACACACACACACACACACACACACACACACACACACACAGGTCATACATGTAGCTGCCCTTCTAGTCTTTGTAAATGTGTCTTTTAAGAAAAATGGAAAGTAACAACACATTCACATAACAAACACAAATCATCTGCATTTGACAAAAATAAGTTTTCACAGCTGTATTATTAATTATTCTTTCTGTCTAAAGCACAGAGTGGAATACAGTATATGTGACTAAATAAAGATGTTATTGAATCATATTCCTAATTTATGACTTTCTTTCCTTCCTCTCAGGACCCGAGGGCAAAGCATAAGTTTAAGATCCATACCTACTCCAGCCCGACCTTCTGTGATCACTGTGGCTCTCTGCTGTACGGCCTGCTGCACCAGGGCATGAGATGTGACCGTACGTACACACACACATCCACAAGCCTCACTGTCTGTGATTGATCAGGTTTCCATTAGCAAACACACACTGCAGCATTTTATATTCCATATTCAGGTTATGTCCAACTCAGTGTAAATGTAATTGCTTTTAAATTATTTTCAAATACAGCCCTTCTAGAAAATAAATATAATGTAGTCTTTGCTTGTCACCACTCACATATGTTTATAACACACTGTTAATTTCTACATCTGTTTATTCCACATAATTACTACAGGATGTATTCTAATGTAATTTAGCTTTCTGATTATCTTAGTCTATCTTATATGTATACATGTTTTCGTATTCATGCAACTTACTTGCACCATTTTGCACCACTATTTTATATCCTTTAATTTTTAAGTATATTATATGTTCCGCTGGAAGAAGAGCCTCAGATTTAAGATTTGACACTGTAGCTTTTCTGCACGTGACAAAAAAACCATTAAAATATTTTTGTAATGTGTGTTTTCCAGACTGTATGATGAACATCCATAAGCGCTGTGTGGCCAATGTGCCGAGCCTGTGTGGGACAGACCACACCGAGAGGAGAGGTCGCCTCCAGATCACCGCGGAGGTCAAGACCAACGTACTCACTGTCACCAGTAAGTAGATCTATCCATTAACACACACACACACACACACACACACACACACACACACACACACACACACACACACACACACACACACACACACACACACACACACACACACACACACTAAGACACCGCTGTGTTCATGTTCTGCAACACTAGTCATCTGCCTCCCTCTACTGGAAGATCTGCAGAGGTACAGGATGGGTGCAACAGATGTTACATGAGATAAAACTTTTTATTCTGTGTCCATTACAAGTTTAATTTCAGCAAACAGATGCAGATAGAATTTCTACTTCTTTACTAATATGTTGATTAGAAGTGAATGTCAATACATGCATCAGTACATGAAGCTTACATTGGTTTCAAAGTAAATCATTACAAATACTAAATATGCTGACTAATAGAACTGCTGGCCTTTTTCGACCATCTGACCTTAGAAATTGAACAAATATGGAGCGCAAAATACATTTTCCTGTAAATATGATTATTACCGTGGTTACTCAAGAATGAATGAGTCGGGAGGGCTGTTAATTTATTCCGGCAAATTACTCAAACCAACTAATTGACCTAACAAAAGCTGTTGAGTCCATGCAAGTTTACTGCTTGGCTCAGACCCACCAACGTCAGCAAGATCTCACCTCTACTAACCCCCGGAAGAACCAGGTTCAATGAACTGCTGTTTCAATTCAGACGACCTGCTAAATCTGTTTTAAGTGATCCCGAAGGATTTTTGATATCAGTAATGAGATGTGGCCCTACCTAAGTGTGAGTTGTGGCAGATGTGCATTTCTTACCTTTCAAGCAGGAGAGGAGGGCGCAGATTTATTTTAAGTTGTCCCAATCCAAAGGGTGGGATCAGTTTATTTGAAGAAAAATTGGCCCACACTTGTACAGGGTTTTACCTTCTCTCGTTACAATATGACAATCATACAAAACATATCATGCTGTGGTCATTTTCTAATATGGAACCTTAATTCATAGTTTTGACATTAAAGTCTTCCGACATAATCCAGAGGAATCTCCTCAGAAATCGCCGGGGCTACACATTCATACCTAGAGTCCGACAACATTTAGAGGCAGTTCCTCAGAAATGGTCAGTGGGATCTAACGGTTTCATACTTTCATTCAACAAATCAATTCATATCCACACCAGGGTTTCCGTTAGCTGGTCAAATGGAATAAAAACGGGTAAATTCAAAACCTGCCGGTCAAAATGTCCGATGCTCCGATCGATTGGCCGCCGATCATTATCGGCCGATATTCACTCTTAATAGTTTGATCGGTGCTCTCTATAAAGGCAAGGCAAGGCAAGGCAAGGCAAGTTTATTTATATAGCACTTTTCAACACAAGGCAATTCAAAGTGCTTTACAAAAAATGAAAGAGATTAAGAAAATGGCATTTAAAATCAGTCATTAAAAAGAAAAGATAATAAAATAAACATTAAAAGAAAAAGTACATGGATAAAAGTTACAGTGCAGTTTAAGATATGAATAGTTCAATTAAAAGCAGCGACAAAAAGAAAAGTCTTCAGCCTGGATTTAAAAGTAGTCAGAGTTGCAGCGGACCTGCAGGTTTCTGGGAGTTTGTTCCAGATGTTTGGAGCATAATAACTGAACGCTGCTAAAGGCCAATCAGGAGAGCTGGATCTGATCGATATGGACATAAACGCGAGTGAAATGTAACCGGAAGCGAGAGAGAGAGAGATCAGACCAGCTGCTGCATAATCACCTGAAGCCCCGCCCACTGTTTAGTGAGCTGCATGAGAAACGGACGGGCTGTCAGGAGAGAGAGAGGGAGAAGGGAAAAGAGAGGATCCGTTTCTCCCGTGTTATTATTCAAAGTTAATGTAAACTTTGAATAATGTACTTCATCTACTACAAGTAGTTTCTTTGAATGTAATAATTATGTTGTTTGTTGTTTGTGGAATCATTTATTGAAAAATGAATCTGTTATGATTATGCAATATAAAAATGAGCCGCATTAACTGAGTTTTAAACATCAGCATATCCTAACCCTAGTCCGGTAATTACCTACTAACGGAAACTCTGCTACACAATTCTTATTATTATTGAAACATGACCGATAAGTTTCAAATTTGTTCGGTAAAATAAATTCTGTTCGGACATTTGACCGGCGAGAAAAAATCCTTGAGGAAACCCTGATCCACACCTAGTCCAGCATGAATTCTGAGGAATTTCCTCACAGGTTGCTGGGTGCTAAACATTCAACAAAGAAATTCACTCGGCATTTACCAAGTTTGAGAGAACCTTACCGAGGAAAAACCCCCCTCTCCCGAGTTTGCTCCCTCTCAGCGAGTGTTTTTATGCTCATAACAGGACAGAAGAACCTAAAGACACCTCCTCCATACCCATATTTGTGGAAACTGGGCATGGTCTCTGATGTGCAGGACGTGTCCAGACCTATTCTATGGCTATGGCATAAACACATTTTTGGGGCCTTAGTATGTCCCCAACAAGTCAGGAGGCCCCCCCCCCCCCCCCCCCCCCCTGTGCACCGCTGTAAGGGAAGAAACTGTCTTCCTTCTCTTATCAGTGACACCCATAACCTAAAATAGGCCTTAAACTCAACTTAACAAACCCCTTGTGTTTTGAATATAGGCAAGTGTGATTATAGAAAAACATAAACTACAATGCATTTTCATTGTGGGTTATATAAGAATATATTTGATTATAATTAACTTTCGTTTTAATTACTCAACCTAATATGGAGACCACAACAGTGTCCAACCATCAAACCACAAACATTGTCATCGCAACACATTTTTCAAACATTATTTTATACATTATACATTGTATACATGTACATTATTTTATAATAACAGTATTTCCAGTATTATTTGTTTGCGGTGGTGGTTGAATGTTGTTTCAAAGTAGGCAGTTGCTACCCAATATAGTCTGTTCATATTTTAGGATGTAAAGATGTTTCTAGAAGCCTCTTTATCTATGTTTGGCTAATCATTTGCAGTTAAAAACATCATAAAACAAATAATTATTTCCAAGAAATTAACAACATACGTCCGAAGTATTTTTTCTACAAGTCAAATGATTTATATTCACTTAATTTCTTACCTGAACACGTCTTATATTAATGGGATAGGTCAAATGCAGGCTAGCTTCTTTCCTCGAGAGAGTTTCCTGACCTGCCTCCTTTTTTATTTATATGATAAATAAATGAACAGTTTCACCACTTTCTGCTTTACCTGTAGTTCCTTGTCTTACCTGCAGGTGGCGGCAAAGGTTTAATTAAGTTTGCTGTGTGCCTGTCTACTCAATTACAGCTGTGCCTCAAACAGAAATCATCAAACTTAAACGATGTTGAACTCACTTTTCGCCGGACATTTCTTTCCCTTTAATCAATGACACGTACAAAAAGGAGAATCTGTTCTCTGGTGGTGAATGAGCTGGTTTCACATAAACACCTGGTAAAGTAACCCTAAACTGACAAAAACTTCAAAAGTATTTACAGTTATTCACATCTCCAAAATCTGAGTGCATTTGAATATATTAGTTAAATACCCAGCTGCAGTGTACATACATTTTTCTACACCTTCAGATTTCTCCCAAGCGCTCGATAACTCGGTACAGTAAATATTTCCTGAGAAATGGAGCCATGTTTGAGGCTTGAATTTGGCCAAATGTATTGGATTACTTTTTGGCAGAGAGTTACAAAAGTAATTACTGACTAAATACAATTTACTTTGATTGTGGATCTATGAAAGTTAAAGCGATGTCTTCCTGTTTTAAATAAAACAAAAGGATTTCCAATTCTGCTACAAGAGAGAGAAATGATTAATACCTCTGGGATTGCACTTCATATATAATCAATAAACACAATCGGTTCATCATTAAACATTGAAACAAAGTCTCCAATAACAAAACCGTTCTGATAACTTTTGGATGTGCTCATTTCTGCATGTATAAGCATTTTCCTTTCATGGTCTATTGCTGGGGTTCATCCCTCATGTTCCTTCTTACGCTCTCTTCCTGGTTCCCATGCTCGTATACTGATCATTAGCTGGGGTTTACTGTGAGAAATGATAAGAGAGCAGACTTATCACACACACACACACACACACACACACACACACACACACACACACACACACACACACACACACACACACACACACACACACACACACACACACACTGCTAGCAAATCAGTGCTACAGTATAGAAATAGAAATAAATTGAGCCGAATAGTAGAAACTGTCAAGTCTTATTTAATCTATTTTATTCATATTTGTCAGTCTGTCCCCAATGCATTAACATTATTGTCCAACTAGCAAGGATTTAGCATTTGTTGTGCCAAAACATACATTAATTCCTGATTTTAGGTAGCTGTTATACAAACCTCTTCATTTTGTGTGTGGTAATAGTGGACAGGCTAGGAGGCATTTGGAGGTGTAGTACTCTTCTCTGTCCACAGGGGTCAGTGTGGAGCCACTAGTAGATTACTCCCACATTGCAGTAAGGTTAAAAAAGAAAAAAAAAGGAAACACCACCACCGAGAATGAATTTTAGAAGCACTCAGAATTATTCCACAGCTTAACGTAGCAGGAACTGGTGGAAATGGCTGCTACACTGAGAAATGGAGAATGCACTAACTATGGATTTAATCAAAGCAATTGACATGGCTGTAAAGTGACACTGTATTGATCACTTTTAAGTCACATCCCTCCCCTTTCACTGGGGGATCAAAGCTCACACGGCCCATAGAGATGCAGGATCAGCATCGAGCTCAAGGACAAGGAGCAGGCAGTGGGACGTGGGTTCGGGACCTTAAAGGTGCCCCCTTCCTTTAGTGCTGCACATTCTGCCTGGTGGCTTTATAGCTGGATACCTGAAAGGCAGGGTGGGAAAAACAGTTGTCATAGAGATGGGTGGGTACTTATTGTTTAAAGAGGCCTTTTTTATGCTGTTTGAGGTTTTCCCCTCCCTGTAGTGTGTTATATAGGTGTGTGTGCATGTAAATGGTCTGCAAA